TATCATGGTAGTATTTCCCCTCATAGATCTAAGCAATCAAGGAATTTGGTTGAGTGACTGCGTTCCAAGCATATTTAGCCAACATTGCTTGATTGAATTCTTTGGCTGATCTCAAACCTAAGCCTCCATGCAGTTTAGAATAACATAATTTATGCCAAGCTTTCCAGTGAATTCCCCTCTCCTCCTTGTCTCCTTTCCATATGAAATGGGCAATTATTTGATCCACCTTTGTGAGTGTTGAGACTGGTAACTTGAACACTCCCATAGGGTACGTCATCATGGAGGAAAGTGTAGTCTTTGCTAACGTGATTCTATCCATGATTGAAAGCGATCTTGTCTTCCAGTCTGAAAATTTGGCCCGAATTTTCTTTTCCAAATGCTCAAATATCTTCTTTTTTGGTTGTGCAAAGTTGAGGTCAATTCCCAGATATTTTCCAAAGGAAGCCCCTTGCAGGATATTTAAGAATTGGTGGAAATATCGTTCCCAGTCAGGGGGGTATTCAGACTGAGTAAAATACTAGACTTCTGAAAATTGACTCTCTGTCCAGAAAACTTTGAATATGTTTGAATAGCTCTGTTTAGTCCCTTGATTGCATCATCTCCCACTTCTAAAAAGAAAATAGTATTATCCGCATACATCAGATGGTTTATTTTCGGTGTATGCCTGCCCAACTAATACCCAAGCCCCTAATGGTTGTCGCCTCATGGTGGATGGTTGGTGACAAAACTTGCTGACAAAGAATAAACAGATAAGGGGACATCGGGCAACCTTGTCTCAATCCACATCTTGGACGAAATTTCCTTGAACTCTCTCCATTAAATAGAATAGAGTAGGAGACTGTAGTTACACAGCTCATAATAAGGGTAATTAAAGATGGAGAAAAATGTAATCAGATTAGCACTGCTTGCAAAAAATCCCAAGACACTTTGTCATAGGCCTTGGTCATATCGAGTTTTATCGCAGCCATTCCAATACACCCTTTTCTGTTCTTAGTATGCTGAATAAGTTCGTGTGCAATCAGGATGCTTTCACTAATATTTATTCTAGGCACAAATCCATTTTGTTGTTCATCTATCAAGGAATCCATCACAAGCTTGAGCCTTGTCGTGATCATTTTTGCGATGATTTTGTATTTCACATTGCAAAGGCCTATAGGACGGAAATCTGAGGCTTTCTTTGGGATTTGGACTTTGGGGATGAGAACTAGATTAGTTTGGTTTCATTCATCATCTATGCATTGTTGTTGACATGATTTTAGAACACTTGATGTGACAAGACCTTTGCCTTGCTACTAGTATTTTTGATAAAATCCTGCAGGGACACTGTTAGGACCCGGCGATTTCCAGGGGGCCATAGCTTTTATTGCTGCTAGGACTTCATCACTGTTGAAAGGTTGGCTGAGATATTGCACTTGTTCTGAGGTGAGCTCTCTTTGAATACGAGATAATACTTCTTGCAAATTTGTTGTCGGAACTTCATCATGATGTGGAAAAGGATCCAGATCAATGTAGATATGCTGAAAATGTCTTTGAATGATTTCATTTATGATCAGGGGATCATATTGCCATTCATCCTGCTCATTTTGTAATTATGTGATCCACTTATTTCCTCTATTTCGGGTAGTCCATTTATGAAAAAATTTTGTATTAATGTCTCCTTGTAGAGGCCAATTAATCTTTGCACGCTGACTCCAATAATCCTGTTGTAGCTGTAATGTTTCCTCTAACTCTAATTTGGAGTCATTTAATGCTTGCTGTGAAACCAGATTCTGTAGGTCATTTTCTCATTTAACTTGATTGTGTTGGAGCGTTGCCATTAGCTCCTTAACTCTTTTGTCTAAACCACCACACCTCTGCTAACTCAACTCACTGGCTTTAGTAAGACAGTTTTCCAGGCATGTTGAAAGATTGGCTGTAGCTCATGGTCAGCAGACTGATGTACCACTGCCTATTTGCCTATGATCTCCTGTACCTACTTGCATTTAACCCATAAAGATTCAAATTTAATCTGCCTCTTAGTTTGAGATGGGCTACCCTTAAGTTCTAGTAAAATTGGCCCATGATCTGATCGCATGATAGGTAGATTGCGTAGATGAGCCTTATGAAAGTGTTGTATCCAGTCATTGTTGACGAATGCCCTGTCCAACCTCTCATAAATTTCCTCACTCCCTTTCCGGTTGTTGGACCATGTATGCAACACCCAAGGTGTTTCAATTTTGACAGAGAGTGCTTCTTGATTATGTCCATGAGCATGTTTGGCTCGTTTTTTGTAACAACTCGCCCTCCCCACTTATCTTCCTGACTTAGAACTTGGTTGAAATCCCCTACTAGAATGCTAGGGTACTGCAAATTGGCTAGAACCATACTTAATTGTGGGATTGAATCGAGCGGTAGAATTATGAGGTGTAGTATTTACCTTTTATTGTGGATTCCATTCCAGGGAATTAACAAACCACGCCTTCACGGTTTTTGTGGTTAGTAATGAAATACTGGATTCTATGACTATTATACATGGTTCGTACAAGTACTATACATAGTACACAGTACACACTACATATTTTTTTGTTTGTCTAACCTCAAAATAATAATAGATAAAAAAATTAGTAATGAGGTAGAAGATGATGACATCATGTGATGATGTCATTTCTGTCGGCTGAAGGGTTTACAAAAACCTAATTTTTAATATTTTATTATTTGCAAAAATGGTCCCTCTGGGAAATGTTTTCATATTTAAGGATTTGCCCACTAAACATGAAATATTTGTAAGAGACCCCGTAGACTCATAAATGCTGGAAAAAGTTTCCTGATTTATATTTGTACCCCATTTGAAAAATTAATTTTCATAAAGAGTCTGACTTTTGGAAAAGTTCTAGAAATAAAAATAAAGATAATCTCATATTTTCAAAATTAATTGCAATTCAAAATTTAAACGAATCTATGTTATAGAAAATATAGTCATGATCGAACATAATTAAGTTGAATAAGGTATATATCAAATAAGATTAATATTGATATCATTTTTTTATTTTGTTATCCTTTTTACAGAATTAAGGTATTCACATTCATGTCTACATTCATCCAATTCTTCTCATCGAAATTGATAAACTAATTATCTCACAATTATAAGGGATAAACACAACTTAAGATATGATAATTTAATCAATTAAAAAAATTGCTTAATTAAACAGATTGGTCATGTGACGCTCTTTGAGCCGAAAGCATAACCACTATAAATATATCTCCTTCTCACACAAAAGTTATCACAAATCTCTCTCGGGAAAAAGATTATTGATTTTACTCTCCCATTTATCTAAACACATTACTTATGCTACATGCGGAGATGTCTAGTTGGAATGGCTGATAAGATGTAAGAAAAATGTGAAATGATTAAGAAAATTATTTGGGTGGGATAGTTCACATTAAAAATAAAATAATCTTAGATTTGAAATTAATATGATCTTTCAAATCATTAAAACTTAATTCCCTTAAATGAAAAAATAGATAAAATTCCTCTAATCTTCTTAAAGCGAAGACCATTCCAATTATCCCATGTTTTGTGATGACAGTCAATAAGAGGCATGGTCCGTCATAATCGCAGGAGGATCTATTTTTGTGTCGTCCAGTCTTTATGCATAGCCAACTATACGCTTCTTTCGAGAGTCAAATCTAGAAAATGTCTTATTTGTAACAAGGCTGGTGAATTATGTACTCGCATGACAAATGTGATTTACAAGGAAGCTCTCGAGAATATATGAAGGTTTGGTGATAGCTTTTATTGCTTTTGTTTTTTTTCTTCAATTTTAAAATAAAATCACAACATGTATGACTTTTCTCATATTATCTGTTTTAGACAAAACTTGCATTTTTATCGCGGACGTATTATTTTAAAAGAAAATAAACGGTATCTTTACTGAATAATCGTTCATGCAAATATCTAAACAATTTTCTTACAAAGTTAACATTGATGCTAAATTTTGAAGATTAAGATCGAATTCCACCGTGCAGCACACGGGCACTACACTAGTCTTCCAAACAACAGATGGGTCCTGCAAAACCAATCCAATAGTAGGAACCAGAGGACCAAGTTGAGTACTTGGCATGTTAGAAGTATGGTAGCACACCTCGAAAGGCACCACGGGCGGAACTCGAATATTCCCGGCGAAACTCGTGGTAAATGCATTGGTGAAAGCTCTGTAGATGGAGGTTTCCATGACGGTGTAAGGGTTTACGATGCTGATCTTTGTCCCACAGTTTCCATTGCTGTCGATTTCCAACAACGTCGAATTCAAAGGAACGGCTATTCCATTAATCGTTATAGATTTCACCCCAATGAAGTATTCCACCTGATGGATAATATTTTAACCAAAGCCCAATTAATTAATATTTTAACCACCTCAACTCTATATATACCCCATTCGTGTGGTATTTCAGTAAGCTCATTTTACTCCCTTCTTAGTTCAGATACTTTATTTTGACCACTCCTCGGACTGACTTGCTCGTCGGAGTGCTAACTCTTGTTTTGCAGGTCCTAGATCCGAGGACATTGTTGACTCGGCGTCCCGTCGGATTTCGATGTCCCTTCGGACTTCGACTTCCCGTCGGATTTTGCCTTCGTCAAGTGACGCCGATTGTGGGGACTATGTTCTTAATTGAAAGCTTGAATTAATAGTCTCAGTGTCTGTGGATTTGGACCACTGGGTCATCGATCCTTTTGTTTGAGCTATGCATGTAGTTTGAGCTTCAACAAAGGAAACTTCCTTTTCTTCTCCCGTTGTGGAGTGTTCGTCCCCCAAGTTGTTTCTAAGCTTGATCAGTTTCCAGCTACAAGCTTCATAGGTGGGCCTTCTGCAGTTTGAGGCTGCCTCGGGTTGAAGAAAAATCCCAGAAGCTCTTCAGACATGATAAAACATCGGCATCAGATCTTAAATCGAAAACGAGTCCGGTGCTTCATCTTCAACAGCGCCAACCCATCCTAGTCATCTACAACAATGGCTGTGCATTCAAAAGCGTGGCATCCGTTGTAGGTTTTGGTTTGAAGGCTGGTCGGAAGCTGGTCGGAGCTCCATCGTGATCGTCGGCACCGGTTGAACCTCTTTCGTGCCAAGGAAGTAGTAACCATTGAACGTGACTTCTAAAGGGGACAACCCTCGAACCTTCATCATCATCAGTCGCGGCAACGGAGGCCTTGAACTTGTTTGTCTCCTATCCTTCTCTGAACCAATAAAGTTTGACGATGCCTCGGCAACAATTTTGGAAGCCCATGTCGTCACCGGCGGGAAGCTCCTTGGTGGTGAAGCAATCATGAACGTGGTTCTTCAAGGTTGAAGATGGTTCGAACCTTCATCATCACCGTCAGCAAATCGAATCGCCTTTAGTAGCAACTCCTTCTGCCTGAAACATGCAACGGTGGATGATTTCTGCAGTAGACAACGACCCAACTTCTACTCTTTCGTCAAAATCGGGGGAAGGAGCTAAAAAGTTGTTTGCTGGTTTGAAGCTTGGTCGTCCGTCCGGAGCTGGTTTGAAGTTCGAGGCTGCAACAACTCCATCAGTTCGACGTCCCGTCGGACTCGAGTCTCCGTCATTTTAACAACAAAAGTCGGGGGGAGAAGCGTCAAGAAAAGCTTCATGTTCAACTTCAACAACCCTGCGAGACTTTAAGGTCCAGTTTCCCTCCGTCGTCAGCATTGGGGGAAGCGTGAAGGTTGGCAATTCCAGTTCAGTTCGAGAGCAGTTCGAAACTTGGTCGTCATCATCAAGAGCCTCAGTCGGAATTCAGGAATTCACAACAGAGCTCTTCTAATTCCCAGTCAATTGCCACTCATTCGATTTCAGGAGGCATAAAGTCTCAGAAAGGTCCATGGAGAATGGCAGTAGAGGAGGAGTTCTTCTTCCCTGGGGAAGGAATGCTGCGAACAAGGAAAAGGCCATTGGAAGTATTACAGGAAGCCCCTGTGAGTAATTAGATGAACAAAGCTGAGCATAGGGAGGTATTTGGTTATGCAGGTGATGGTGAGGAAGCTGAACTGAAGAGTCTTGTGGTGGTTGAACCAGATCAACCGCCTTCACCACAATGAATATCCTTGCCTGGAATTGCAGAGGTATCAATAATGCTCTACACAGCATAGTTTAAGTAGATTATCTCAGCATTATAAACCTTTTATCTTATTTCTTATGGAAACTAGGGCTAATAGTAGTACTATGGAGAGATGGCAACAGTCATCTTCTTTTCAAAAATCTTTTGTAATAGATGTAGCAGGTTTTAGTGGTGGACTTGCCTTATTTTGGGTAGATAGTGTGCAACTTACTGTTCTTATGCACAATGTAATAGTAGCCAAAGTCTGCGAGACTTCAGGAACTAGTTGGCTAGCTGTTTTTTTGTATGGCATATCTGCTAGGCAAGGTCGTGCCAAATTTTGGACACAGCTAAATGCCAATCTTAGATCCTTTGCTTATCCTAAGCTTTTACTAGGAGATTTTAATCAGGTCATTTCCCAGGAAGACAAGAGTGGTGGTAGAATAATAATGGATCAAGATACAAGGCCAATACAACACTTCTTGGCACAGAATGATCTTGAAGAGCTCAAACACATTGGATGTTGGTATACTTGGACAAAAAAGAGATCCAACTAGGATGTGATATATGAGCGTTTGGATCGTGCCTTTTCAAACAGACAGTGGTTGGTACATTTCCTAAAGCCATTATGCGGAACTTGCCTATAATGGTATCAGACCATGCTCCAATACTAATTCAACTCAAAGTTAGATCACAGAAGCAAGGAAAGAAGGCCATGTTTGAGCAATTTTGGGCTAAATGTCCACATTCTCAAAATCTAGTTAATCAAGCCCGGCAGAATCTAAATTTGCAGATAACGGATTCTCAACATAATTTATCTTATAAGTTGAAGTCTAGCTTGATAAGTTTAGATAATTGGAGTAAAGAGAAGTTTGGTAACCTAGACAGGCTAGTTGTTAAACTCACTGACCAATTGGCGACTGTTCAAAGGCACTAGGAAGCTGATTCCTAGAATGACACCTTGTTGCATCAAATGAATGCTGCAAGAGAGGAATTGGAGACCGCTTTACAGTTCCAACATGATTATTGGCAGCAATGCTCAAGACTTGTTTGGCCGGTCCAAGGTGATAAGAACACAAAATTCTTTCACAAATGGACAACTCGTAAAAAGGGAAACAAATGGATTACAGAGATCCAAGCTCCAAATGGTCAATGGGCGAATACTCAATCACAGTTCTCTTCTCTCTTCCAGCAACATTTTTCTGATATATATGGAGAGCAGGAAATTTCTTCTTCTGCTCATCAGTCTTCTCTGTTCTTTACTCAGTTCCTAAATCAAATGGATTCTGGCTTGACGCCGAACCAAGTGGGAGCTTTGGGAAAAACTTTTTCATCTTCTGAATTCTGGAATGCAGTTAGGCATATGTCTTCGTGGAAATCTCCAGGGCCAGATGGGATGCCGGTTGGTTTCTATAAGACTTATAAGCACGTTATTGGCCAGGACATTGAAAAAGCGATTTTGGAGGCTTTTCAGCAACATCAATTTCCCATGGAGTGGAATCAGACTCATCTAGTTTTAATCCCAAAGAATGCTACTCCAATGCAAAAACTGGTGATTATGGGCCTATAAGTCTGTGCAACGTGAAATACAAGATTCACACGAAAATGATCAGTAATAGACTGAAAATTATTATGCCGGACCTCATTGATGAACATCAAAATGGTTTTGTCCCAGGATGGAATATTACAAAAAACATTCTGCAGGCACATGAAGTCATTGAGATTGGCTGCTGTAAAACTTGACATGAGCAAGGCCTATAACTGTGTCTCCTGGCCATTTTTACAAGCAGTTCTTAATCAGGTGGGATTTCCAGAAAGTCTTATCAAGATCATCATGTTTTTTGTCTCTACTGTCACATATTCTCTACAGATCAGTGGAGAAAGCCTCCCTTATTTTACTCCAACCAAAGGTCTTAGACAGGGCTGTCCACTATCTCCTTACCTTTTTATTCTTTGTCAACAAGTGCTATCCTTGGCGATCAGGGCAGAAACTCAGCTATTCCCTGGTTTAGGTATCAAAGTGAGTAGGCATGCCCCAAGGATCACACATCTAATGTACGCGGATGACAGTTTGTTTTTTCTAGATTGCAAGGAGTCCTCGGTTCAAGCTCTGGCAGGTTTGATTGAAACGTATGCCTCCTTTTCGGGTCAAAGGATTAATTATCAAAAGTCCTCAATTCTTATTAGTCCTAATACCCCACTCAACATCAAGGCAGAAGTTCATTCTACGTTACAGATTCCTAAGGGTCATTTTCATGGTAAATATCTAGGGTTATCACTGGACTTCAAAGAGAAAAATAAGGTAATTTTCAGAGAGTTTACCTCGACATTAACAGGGAAGTTTGCGGATTGGAAAACTAAACTGCTCAGCTTTGCGGGGCGAGTAACACTGACAAAAGCAACTCTGTCAGCCATGTTGGTGCATCCTGCGGGAGTCTTCAAATTACCATCAGGAACAATGAATGAAGCCAATGGTATTATCAGCAGATTTATATGGAATAGAGATCAAGATGCAAAAGGCATTCAATGGAAGTCATGGAAAAAGATTACCAAATCTCAGTTCCATGGAGGTTTAGGGCTGAAGTCCACACCAGAATTTAACCAAGCTCTCTTGGCCAAGCATGCTTGGAAGATAATGTCTCATCCGCACTCTTTACTTTCAAAGGTATACAGGGCCAAATACTGCAATTCAGAATCTTTTCCTCAACTCCAGACCCCAAATGGTGCAACCTGGGGCTATAAAAGTGTTTTATGGGGTGCTAGACTTCTCCACCAGAACACAAAGTGGAAGGTCATCTCAGGGAAAGACATTAGGATTCATGATAATTGGATCCTAGGTCATGATAACCCTATCCAACAGGATTCAATTTTGGCGACACACTCCAATCTATTGGTTAGTGACCTCATCCGACCAAATGGCCAATGGAAACTGCCTGTTCTTCGTACTATATTTCCAGATGAACTACTTCCCTATATTACTGGAATCTTCATAGATCCCTCTAATCATAGGGATGCAGATAAAATTCAGTGGGTGTGGGTACATAAGGATCCTGGGTAGTATACAGTTCGATCAGGATACCATACTGCACTTAACCTGTCTAATTCTCAACCGGTGCGACTACAACTGGAAAACTGCTGCTTGGAAACGTTTGTAGAATGCGAAAGTGCAATCTAAATGAAAATTCTTATTTTGGAAAGCAGCTCTTAATGCTCTTCCATCTAAACAGGGTTTGTTGAAACGTGGAATCCAATTGGATACTGCTTGTCCTTGATGCTTTACAAGTGAAGAAGATAATCTGCATCTCTTCTTTACTTGTCCGATATCTCAGGCCATATGGAGCTTCGCATATCCAAAGTTCCAATCAATTTTCCGTCTCCTCCATTTTTGAATGGTTTGTACAATGGATTCAGTCTCATCCATCCTCTCAAGACTTAGATCTTTTCCTTCTAGTTTTCTGGAGGATTTTGATAGAGAGGAATGATAGACTATGGAGAAGTCAGCCCGCTGATTCAGTGAATTTGTGGATACAAATACAATAGGAGCTCAAACAACATAATGCCATGATGGCTAGAGTGCAAGCCTCTGGTTCCCTACCACAACATTCTTCCAACATCAATGTCCAAGGGAATGACTATGCAGAAATCGTCTTTGATGCTTCCTTTAATAATCATTCCAGGAAGGCTGCTAGAGCCTTGAAACTAACTTCATCTATGGGTATGCTCATGCAAATTAAATCAGTCTCCCTTGAATATCCAATATGTTTTGAACAAAGTGTTTTCTGGTGGCCCCTAAACAACCCTACGACTTGAAATTTTTTTAACAGCCACAATAAAATTTTAGGTAGCTAAATTATAGTCGCACCATAATAAACTGAAAATGCAAAGGAATGTTGACCGGAAATAGGAAGTGAAACTGTTACATGTCAATATGCGTCTATCTTAATTTGCAGCAGATTACTTAATTCCATTAGCGTTAATTGATAATTAGTTTTGGGACCTTGGAGGAATCACCAAAGAGATTGCTGGAATTTATATGCACTTATATAACTCTGATTTTGTTTTCTCGTGAATAAAAAGGTTACACCCCTCAATGGAAGATGAGAGAACTATGAAATGAAATGTCCAATGCTAAACACATTATATTCTCAGGGTATATATTATTTCTCAAAGTTTAAAGTTCTACTTTCACAATTAATGTTGAGCAACAAGATTTTGTAAATGTTCCATCAAATGTTTCGGGGAAAAAAAATTCCAAGGGACCAGACAATCTGGAGCTCCTATACTTGCAAGCTAAGCATAGATCTGGGATGGTCTTCGACGGTGAGGAAGATTTTATATATCACCATCATACGTGCCGAACTAATAGTAGTCGAATTCGGAGTGCGTTTCCCGTAGCACATCAGAAGGTAAGGGATTGTGTTCAAGAAGGCGGGTTTGGGACATTTTTGTTGAATGGGCATTTACAATTAGACAACCATCTTGTAAGTGCCCTGGTCAAAAGATGGCGACCTGAAACCCATACCGTCCATTTCCCATTCGGTGAAGCAACCATCACACTCCAAGATGTTGAAGTTTTATTGGGTTTAAATGTTGATGGACCCCCTGTTACGGCGGACACTTCAGAGAAAAGAGACTGACCTGCTTTGTGTCAAGAACTGTTGGATTTTGTGCCCAAATTCAAAGGTAACTTCATTTACTTAACTTCCCTAGAAGCTAAGACAAGAGATGATATTGAATTGGAAGGTGAAAAACCTGTTTATGGGAAGAGGGCTCGGGTGTAAACAGTTAATTAACTTGGTTTTATCAGACTGATAAATAAATAGTAGTACCTTTTTATTTCTTCTTGGTGGTTTCATAAATAGGATACAGATTTAATCAAAACGTTTAAATTGATGAAAAAATAGGTTAGATTGAATGATTATATAGAGTACACTTACAATGATATGATGAATAATGCTTAAAAGTTTTGCGGATCATGATATTAATACAACACCAAAATGACAAATGTGTAACAAATATACTCCCTTTGTCCCATTGTGGAACCAAAAAAGTAAATTGGTTGACTAGTATTAGTTTGGGACAAAGTAAGTAGTAGTATGGGGGAAAAAATGTCATCTTGACATTTTAATCTAGATTCCAGAGACGACTACAAAAAGATTTTGCATCTGTATTGCTTCATTTTTGCTTCCAAGATATTGTGTTTTGTTAGTTGCTTAAATAATAGTACGTCATTGAAATGATAGTTGCTAAAATGATAGTTGGCTTCCTCTTTTGTGGTAAAATAGTGGCTAGTTCTTCTAACCCAAGCCAAACTGAAACCCAATTCGAAACTGAAACCCAATCCCAACTCCAAATTTTCACTAACCATGGACCAGACAATCTGGAGCTCCTATACTTGCAAGCTGAGCATAGATCTGGGGTGGTCTTCGACAGTGAGGAAGATTTTATATATCACCATCATACGTGCCGGACTAATAGTAGTCGAATTCGGAGTGCATTTCCCATAGCACATCAGAAGGTAAGGGATTGTGTTCAAGAAGCCGGGTTATTGGGACATTTTTGTTGATTGGGCATTTACAATTAGACAACCATCTTGTAAGTGCCCTGGTCGAAAGATGGCGACCTGAAACCCATATCTTCCATTTCCCATTCGGTGAAGCAACCATCACACTCCAAGATGTTGAAGTTTTATTGGGTTTAAATGTTGATGGACCCCCTGTTATGGCGGACACTTCGGAGAAAAGAGACTGGCCTGCTTTGTACCAAATTCAAAGGCAACTTCATTTACTTAACTTCCCTAGAAGCTAAGGCAAGAGATGATATTGAATTGGAAGGTGAAAAAGCTGTTTATGAGAAGAGGGCTCGGGTGTTTATAATGTGGGCGTTAGGTGGTATACTCTTCCCCAACTCAACTAGCAATACAGTTTCTTTGTATTATTTGCCAGTGTTAAAGGATCTGAAGGGTTGTGCTAAACTTAGTTGGGGCGGTGCATGTCTAGCCCATCTTTACAATAATCTTTGTAAGGCATCAAATAGGACAAGTTGGGAAATGGGTAGCCTTCGTCTTTTACAGGTTAAGTTCTTTTATTTTATTTTTTTTGCAGTCATTTATATAATTTCTTAAATTGAATTCTGGACTATTTCTCAATGTTTCATTTACAGCTATGGGCCTGGGAGCGTATCCCTTCGATTCAACCAAGGAGAAATACTGATGAAGACCTTTTCAAGGATCATTCGTTCGGTGCAAGGTGATGTGTTGGTTTGAACCTCTCTGCAGTGCCGGCTCATACCATTATTGCCTATCGAGATCAATTTTCAGCTCTGAGGATGCCAAAGCACGTAAGATCTCGACCTTTTTTTTAAGTAATGTTGGACTTCTTTTTATTAAGTGCTGGACATTTTTTTTCCCTCAAATATGTACTTCTTTTTAGCTTTCTTTTTTTTTCTGGAATTCTATTTCTCAAATCTGGACAGTTGCTGGTTTTTAAGCAATGTTGAACTGATTTATTATTTTTCAAAATTCTGGAATTTTTTCCTCAGATCTGGACTGTTACTTTTTTTTTCCGAATCTGGACTGTTATTTACACTTTTGGTCTGTTTTTTCTCTCGAATCTGGACTCTTTTTTTTAATTTCAAATTTGGACTGTTATTTGCAATTCTTTACTGTTTTTTCCGTTCAAATCTGGACTGTTTTTCGGATTTCTGGACTTTTCTTATTTTCTTTTTTTTCCTTATATTTTTGTTTTAGTTCACTTGGAGACCCTGTGATAAGCACCTCCCTGCACTTCCTGCTGCTTATACACGAGGTCAAAAATATTGACAGGTAAAAATATGGTTGGTTTGTTTTGATGTTATAGAACCACATCAACCTGATCAGGTCCTGCGACAGTTTGGACAAATCCAAACTATCCCAGAACCTCCATTTGCCAACAAAACTGAATGGACCAAAACTCACCGTTATGGTATGACCGGATATCATGACACTAATTGGGCAAATAAGAATAGTGAGTATATCGCCTCCTGGGATGACAGATTGCAATCTATTGAGGTTGGATTATTGGTTGATGTACCTACAACCGTTGCAGATTATCTTCCTTGGTATCAAGCCAGGATCGTGAAGTTCAGTATCGATCCTACTAAGTACGACCAAAGGGTGGAAGGGTTTCTTGAACAATCAGATAGGGCCAAAATATATATAAGCCTTCCTAAATCTCTTTTATATTCTAATTTTTTCAACTCGATTGCTTCTGTTTCTAATGGATCTTTGTTATTTTATATTCCTTTTTCTAATTGTTGAATATCTTTTCTGGAAAATTACAGGCAGATACTTTGTTTGACATCTCCAAGGAGGTCAAAAAATATTAGGCCTCGAACTGGTGTTCAAATGAGAAATGTGTTGAATTTTGCAAATCAATCCATAGTTTTGCGGTGAATGCCCTAGCTGTTGTGCCAGCAGAGATGCCTACGGTGTATCCCAGCCAAGTGCTCCTTCAAACTACTCCTAAAAGAGCCCGACCAGTTGCTAAACATCGCAGGGCTAATGTTCCTAAGGCTGGAATTGGAGGAAGAAGAAAAACACCACAAGATCCCCTCGATGTAAGCATGTTTCAGACTCCCTCTCCCATGGAACAAGCTGCCACGGAACAAGATTCCATGGAACAAGCTGAGAATATAGATATTGAGGTTGAGGTGAATTTAGAGCAACTTAGTCTACCTTTGGCAAAAACAAAAAATCAACGGACCCATAAGCCTCCCAAAAGGTATACACCTTCTAGGTCTACGCCGCCACCATCGCCGAAGGATTAGTTTGTTCTTAAGTTGTGACTTGTACTTTTAAACTGATTTAGATGGATATTGAATATATTTTGTATCTTTTGTACGATGTTGCTTATGGATTTTATCTTTTGTACGATGTTGCTTATGGATTTTATCTTTTGTACGATGTTGCCTGTGCCTCAATGATTGGCTGCGTGATAGACTAATCATTGAGGCACAGGCAATCTCCTTTTTAGGAATTTACTCACTGAAGAGCGAGGGGTTGATAATTTAGAAACTCAGAATAATTTTTGTCAACACATTCCGAATTTGTTACATGGCGAGGATCATGGTCTTTTATTGAGGGCTTTGACAACTGAGGAGATTAAAGCTACGGTTGATGGTTTGGGTGTGGATAGTGCTCCAGGGTTGGATGGATTCGATGGTAATTTTTACAAAAATTGTTGGGACATTGTCTCTTCGGATTTGATGGCAGCGTGTGAAGAATTTTTTGCCGGTGTTCCAATTCCTAGAGCCATTGGTAGTACTTTGATCACTTTGATACCAAAGAAAACCTCTGTTACGACTTTTTCGGATTTGCTCCCAATTAGTCTGTGCAACTTTGTCAATAAAGTATTCACCAAAGTCCTCACTGAAAGATTGAAGATGGTGCTATCTAAGTTAATCTTGGAGGAATAATAAGCATTTTTTTCTGAAAGAGATATAACAGACAATGTTTTGTTAGCTCAGGATCTCTGTCAATTCACCAACCACAAAGATGAGGGGAATAATGTTATTTTAAAGGTGGACATGATGAAGGCCTTTGATAGAGTCTCATATAGCTTTCTTCGAGAGGTACTTAAACGTTTTGGTTTTCCAATAAATTTTATAAATTTGATTATTGCGAATCTTTCAGGAAGCTGGTTCTCCATTCTGATCAATGGTAGTCTGGCTTTTTTTTCAATCCACGAGAGGGATAAAATAAGGAGATCTCCTTTCCCCTTACTTATTGATCCTGCTATCAGAAGCCATGTAAAGACGTTAGAAATTTCTCATGGATAGTCGCAAAATCGCCTGTTATGGACTACCAGCAAGATCTTTGTATATATCTCATTTAGCCTTTGCAGATGACCTTGTGATTTTTACTTGAGGAATGAAAAAGTCATTGGAGGAGCTGAATAAGTTCTTTGTTGAATACGAGCTTGCGTCGGGGCAGAAAATAAATAGGCAGAAAAGTGTGTATCTTGTTGATGACAAGTTTAGTGCCTATAGAAGTCAGATTATTCAAAGAACACCAGGTATGCAAAAAGGATCTTTTCCCTTTACTTATCTAGGGAATCGGTTGTATAAGAGGAGGAAGAAAATTGCCACCTTTCAATTTCTTCTTGATGTGCTTGATAGAAGATTATTTAGTTGGAAGAATAAATTGTTAAGCCCAGGTGGTCATCTTCTCCTTATCAATCATGAATTGTTGGCGATTTCTTTGCATGTTTTTACAGCTATTGAGCCTCCGAAGGGAATTATTGCTGCATTAGAACACCGTTGTCAAGAATGTTTGTGGCAAGGAACAGACGATCATAGTAAGCGACACTGGCAAGGGCTCGTACGTTCCCACGCGAGAGAATGGATTAGGGCTAAGAAAGCTTGGTGACATCCTTAAGTCTTTTTTGATTAAGCTTTGGTGGAAAATTAAAATGAAGCAAGGGCTTTCGTCAAAATTTATTCTCTCATTGTCTTCGTCTGCGCTTGACAAGACCTCTTGGACTCGTGTGGAAAAAGTTAGCTCGAAAGCATCCTCTTTGGCTAAAGTGTGTATTAAGGGTGGTAATAGAAGTTTTTGGCATGATGATTGGTCAGACCTTGGAGTTCTTTGGGTTAATCAACTGGAAAAGCCGCCTTCATTGGAGCTGACTATTTAGGAATTTTTTGAGCATAAAGAGCATTATTTAGCTAAATTTCAATTGAATCTCTCGGCAGCTTCTATGGCTCTTCTTCAGGATCATTATGTTAGCTTCATGGATGGAGAGGACATTTTTGCTTGGAAGCCAACCACCTCAGGGGATTTTTCTATCAAATCGGCTTTTGAGTCGATACAACAACGGAAACTGGAATCTGAGATCTCTCGGAATTATTGGCATAAGATGATACCAATTCGCATTTCTTTCTTCATGTGGAAGTTTTGCAATTCTTTGCTGCCTTTCCCCAGTAATTTAGCGCGAATGGGTTTCTACAGCTTTCCATCTGTTTGCTTGCACTGTAAAAGGAGTGAAGATAGCATGAATCATTTCTTTCTTGAATGTGCAGAGACGCGGGAAGTTTGGCAGCATTTCTTGGGGCTTTTTGATCTCGCCATGCCTCCTGAAAATTTGGAGAATGTCTTATATATTTATGGTCTAGTTGCTGCTTCTCAACGGCAAAATCATGAAAAATTCTTCCAACATTCATAATTTGGGAACTTTGGAAAGCTAAGAAAAAGGAGTTCTTTGAAGGGTCTAAAATTCAAATTATGCAATTAAAAGGGCAGTCATGGTAAGTATTGAGAACATGTTATTCATACATCGACCGCCAGCAAAAACTTTGGAAGGGAAGGGGTTCTTGGACTCACTTTTTAACTTGCAATTGAGTCAAGTGAAGAGGAAGACGAAGGTTGTTACATTGGGAAAGCCTGCTTCTGGCACTTTTTGCCTTAATTTGGATGGTTCTTGTGTAGATCATGATGCTGGCTATGGGTTTGTTATAAGGACTGATTGTGGTCAATTCGTCTATGCTGAATCTTGCTATCAAGGCCAATGGAGATAGTTTTATGGCTGAAACTTATGGGTTGCTCTTTGGTCTTAGAAAATGTGTGTTTCGAGGACTTGAGCGGGTGGAAATTCAAACTGATAATCAAGCTCTTGCTATTATTTTGGTTAATGGAGGACCTTATCCTTGGTGATTTCAACTGATTCTGGAAGAGATTCGAAATACAATAAATATTTAGAACTTCACTATCTCGCATACATTCCGAGAGACAAATACGGTTGCAGATAGCTTGGTTAAAAATGCCTGCTCAGGGTTGTCCATTACTTTTACTGATTGTAGGTCTTTGCCTTTGGTCTCTAGAGGTTTATTGCTTCTAGATCAAATGTCTTTACCTTATGTACGCATTAGGTAGAGAGTTTTTTTTTAGTAGCCTGTACTTTTCTGTTGTCTATGCTTAGCTAAATCTGCTTTCTGTGTAATCACGCGGGGTTAGTTTGATGCACTGCCCTTGGCTTTTCATTTTCTTAATGAAATAAAACCGCACAGGAAGAGATGAGACTAAGGAACTAGATGGTATATATGTCCATCCCTTGGGTATACCCCTTGGGTGCTTTGTACTATCTGGCACTGGCTATCTCAAAACATACCTCTTGGGTATAACCCTTGAGTTTTTTTGGAATAGCTGGAACCTGATTATTGTCCTAATCTCTAATTATTTAAAAAAATAATAATATTTATTTATGATAATTCTTCAAAGTTTGAAAAGGGAAGTAGTTCTAATGCTTCTAATACTTCTAATATTCCTAACCATCTTCTAATGTTAAGAATTCTACTTCATCTAGTAATACTAATAAAGTCAGAACTAGAGATGTTACTTGTTTCAAATGTCAGGGACGAGGACATATAGCTTCTGATTGTCCAACTTTAAAGACTATGATGCTTAAAGAGGATGGAAGTTTTGAAAGTGAAACAGATGAAGAAGATGATGAGATGCCAAGACTTATTGAAGAAGTCGAGAAAGAAGTTGTAGAGATTGATGCTGAGGTTGGACAAGTGTTTGTCAACCTTCGAGCATTACAAGCTCAAGTAACTGAAGATGATCAACAAAGGAATAATATTTTCCATACTAAGTGTCGAGTTATGGACAAGGTATGATTAACTATTATAGATCCAGGATCATGTACTAACGTTGCTAGTTCATATCTTGTAGATAATCTGAAGTTACCTACTATCAAGCATCCGACACCCTATCGGTTGCAATGGTTGAATGATTGTGGCAATCTTAGAGTCACTAGGCAAGTGAATGTACCATTCTCTATTGGAAAATATGAGGATGAAGTACTTTGTGATGTGGTACCTATGAAGGTAAGTCACCTACTTTTAGGACGACCATGGGGGTATGATCGAAGAGTAAAGCATGATGGATACACAAACAAGTATTCATTTGTGATGAATGGTCGTAGCTATACCCTGTCACCTCTTTCACCTCCTCAAGTTCATGAATGTAATCTGAGAATGATTCAAGAGAGAGAGAGAGATGAAGGAAAGAGCAGAGTCCTAACGATGAATCTACTTTAGACGTTTCAAAGAGATCTCCAAATGTCTACATATTCGAGAGCCAGTGGGCGAAAATTTCTTCGCTAGTTCCAAATCGGTGGAGAAGTGTTTCGCAAAAGGAATAGGTATGATTTTAATGATTTTTCGTGATAAGTCTGTTTTACTAACCGAAGTTCCTAGCAATTTGCCTAAGGTGTTTCAAAGGCTACTTCAAGAGTACGAGGACATATTCCCCGAGGAGTTGCCTAATGAACTTTCTCCTATACAAGAAATAGAACATCAAATTGATCTAATTCTTGGCGCAGTCATTCCGAATAGACCTGCCTATAGAGCAAATCCTGAGGAAATGAAGGAACTACAAAAGCAAGTTGAAGAACTCCTTGCTAAAGGTAAAATTCGAGAATCTCTCAGCCCTTGTGCTATTCCTGTTTTACTTGTGCCTAAGAAAGATGGTACGTGGCGTATGTACATAGATTGTTGTGTTGTTAATAAGATAACTATTAAGTATAGACATCTAATCCCTAATTAGATGATATGCTTGAAGATCTTTATGGTGCTACTATCTTTTCTAAAGTGGATTTAATCTGGATACCATCAAATAAGAGTTAGACAAGGAGATGAATGGAAAACTGCTTTCAAAACAAAATTTGGTCTGTATGAGTGGTTAGTGATGCCTTTTGGGTTAACTAATGCTCCTAGTACTTTCATGAGATTAATGAATCATGTTTTGGGGCATATATTGGTAAGTTTGTTATTGTGTACTTTGATGATATCTTAGTGTATTCTAAAAACTTACAAGAACATGTTGAACATGTGAGAATTGTTTCGCAAACATTGAGAGAAGAGAACTTTATGCTAACATGCCTAAATGTTCATTTTGTGTAAATGAAGTTGTGTTTCTTGGTTTCATTGTTAGTGCAAAAGGAATTCATGTTGATGAATCTAATACAAGCTATTAAAGATTGGCCTACACCAACCAATGTGATACAAGTGAGATCTTTTCATGGATTGGCTAGTTTTTATAGAAGGTTTGTTAAAGATTTTTCGACAAAAGCTGCTCCTTTAAATGAGTTGGTTAACAAGGAAGTTAAATTTGTTTAGGGACCAGCCCAAGAAAAAGCTTTTAATGACTTAAAACGAGACCTTTCTAGCGCCCCTGTTTTAGCATTGCCTGATTTTAACAAAACATTTGAGTTAGAATGTGATGCTTCTTGCATTGGTATTGGTGCTGTTTTCATGCAGGATAAACGTGCTATAGCTTTCTTTAGTGAAAAGTTAAATAGAGCTTGTCTTAATTATCCTACTTATGACAAGGAACTCTATTCTGTGGTTCGTGCATTAGAGACTTGGCAACATTACTTGTTGGCTAAGGAATTTATAATTCATACTGATCATGAATCTCTAAAGCATCTTAAATCACAAAACCGTCTAAGTAAAAGACATGCAGAGTGGGTTGCATTCATTGAAACATTTCCTTATGTTGCCGATGCTTTATCTAGGCGTTACACTTTGTTAACTTCTTTAGATGCAAAATTGATGGGATTTGAGTTTATTAAAGATCTATATTATGAAGATATTGATTTTGCTAATATTTTTAATGCTTGTGAGCAAAGTGCTTTTGAAACGTTTTATAGACATGAAGGTTATCTATTTCGAGAAAATCGACTTTGTGTGCCTAAGTGTTCACTTCGAGAACTTTTGATACGCGAGGCCCATAGTGGAGGTTTAATGGGACATTTTGGTGTGCCTAAGACTTTGGATGTGCTCCAAGATCATTTCTTTTGGCCCAAAATGAAGTCTGACGTTCAGACTATCATCAATCAATGTGTGGAGTGTAAACAAGCGAAGTCTAAATCGCTTTCTCATGGACTTTACACGCCGTTGCTTATCCCTACACAACCTTGGATGGACATATCTATGGACTTTATATTGGGTTTACCTAGAACTCAAAGAGGTATGGATTCTATCTTTGTAGTTGTGGATAGATTTTCTAAAATGTCGCATTTCATTGCTTGCAGAAAAATAGATGATGCACGTCACCATGCGGATTTGTTTCTGAAAGAAATAGTAAGACTTTATGGTGTTCCAAGAACAATTGTTAGTGATAGGGACGTTAAGTTCCTTAGCTACTTTTGAAAATCGTTGTGGGGAAAGTTGGGTACTAAGTTGTTATTTAGCACAACTAGTCATCCACAAACTGATGGTCAAATTAAAGTGACGAATCATACTTTAGGAGCTGTCCTAAGAGCGATCATCAAGAGTTATCTGAAGAAATGGGAAGAGTACTTACCTATTGCTGAATTTGCTTATAATAGAATTGTTCACTCTTCTACTCAGTTTTTACCTTTTGAAATTGTCTATGGTTTTAATCCACTAACTCCTTTAGATTTATCACCTTTACCTTTGAAGGATCAAGTTAGTTTGGATGGAGTTAAGAAAAATGAGACAATCAAGAGACTTCATGAGAAAGTTCACCTCAATATTGAGCGTAGGACTCAACAATATGTAATGACGGCGAATCGTGGTCGTAAACAAGTTGTATTTGAACCAGGTGATTGGGTTTGGGTACATATGAGAAAAGAGAGGTTTCCAAACTCTAGGAAATCGAAGTTACATCCTCGTGGAAATGGACCTTTTCAAGTAGTGTCAAGAGTCAATGACAATGCTTATAAACTAGCGCTACCAATTGAGTATGGTGTTAGTGCTACGTTCAATGTTTCTGACCTATCTCCTTTTGATTTTGATGAAGGTTTGAATTCGAGGACAAATTCGCTTAAAGAAGGGGAGGATGATGGAGATCATCGAGCTAACACTAATGGAGAGGGACATGTTGCTGCCAATAATGGAGAGGACGAGCAAGTTGAGGTCGTGAATGCTAATGGAGGATCTAAAGATGCTGCTTTAAAGAATAATCCTTACATCCGTGATCCACTCTCAAACATTGTTGGACCAATGACTCGTGCTAGACACAAGAGGATGGATGAATCACTTAATAGTCTAATTGTTACTACATGGGCGAAGGAGGAAATTAAGCTTGAAGATTATAAGCCCAGGACTATTAATTTGTTGCAAGTGACACCAAATGGACTTGGCCCATTTGGAGAGAAGGAATTTCGGCCCTCACTCCAAGGAGAGACCACCGGCCACACTCCTTATGGAGGCCGAATGGATCCCTAAAGTTTAGGGATGAGATCATTCAAATTTTATCTATTTGAAAGATAAGACTTTATCTCTTTAAAGAATAATATTTGGGATGATTCCTTTTATCTTATTGCTTTTTGAGTTTTCCTACAATAAGGATTCAACTTTTGATGTCTACTCAACCGTTGGATGAAGACTACATCAAGATGGATCGCTAAGATCACTCTACAAAGAAGATGATGATAGAGTTTTAACTCAAGGGAGATTCTATCCATAGGAATCTTTCTAAGAGATTATCTCTTTGCATTTTGAGTTTTAATTAATTCCTACATAGTCTTAAATGTCTTAAGACTAGTAAAAGAGTCCTTAGAGTTTGATTTGATTTCAAATTCTTAGAAATAGGAATAGATATGATGACTTGTGTTCTTCCTCTACTTCTTGGGAAGAAAATTCGGCCACCCCCTCTATAAATAGGGACCAAATTTCTCATGTCCA